CATCTAGTTGTCGCTTTTGTTATATATAAGTGGGCAACTGGTTATATTGGCAAGAGTGTAATTACCAGAGTGTTGGCTTTACTTTGTGAAATTCTTGCAAAATTGATTCATATAAGGGCCTGTTTGGATTTCCTCCTCTAAACTTTAGAGCTAAAGCTCCAAACAAGTGGTCTAAAGTTAGCTCTAAACTTTAGCCACCTCACATTAGAGTTTGAGAGCTCAAAAGTGAGCTAAAGTGCTCTTAAGCTTTTAGAGCTCTAAAGTTTAGAGGAGGGGATCCAAACAGGCCCTAAGTAATATAAGGGTATCGTAGTGTACATATAGAAAATGGTGATATGTTTTTTAAGAGTTTCTGTTGTGTTAGAAATGTTGTCAACAAGCTATAGAAACATGCGTACAAAGGATTTTCGTTGTTATCTCATTTGCTCTTCTGACTGATAAGTTGAACATAGCATATGATGGCCTTTATATATTGAACTTTGCATCAGTAACCAAATAAGAGTTTATTATTCTGGCAGCAAACAAAAAGATTCCAGAGACAATTGTGGTGTAACTTCAAAGAGGGTAGTGTTGCCATGTTCTTCTCTGTCCATTTGGTGATACACACAAATGAGTTAGCTTGGCATATCTTTAGCTTCTTCAATTTCAGCTAAATTGGCATGCATGCTCCTTTTATTAGTAGTATGTGTCAGTAGTGGGCTGATGGGATGTTGGGTCCCCAACCAAGTCAGCATCTGAAGCAGTTCCATCCTGCCTTTCAGTTGTTTTCAGATGGTACAATGTGCCACCCTCTGCACATAGATCACAGGCACCTGCCTGTTCTCCCTTGTATGGTAGATCCAAGATGCATCAAGGGGGTAATCATGTCATCAACAATGTATATCAGGGGATCATAGTAATTGTAGTTTAAAAGTTCATACTGATCATTGAAAAATATAGCTCGATACATAGAGCATTTGAATTTTTAGCTAGGTGTAGACCAAAGAATAAAACCTGTCACGATGGGGTAGTACGTTGGACTTGCTATTATAGAAGTCGCCGGTCGGCAGTGGTCCAGATCGTACTTGTGATAACAAGCATATCTTGTCAATAGAATAGGCATTTCTGCTTGTAAGGCATCTTTTTGTCACCATACTATCTGATTTATTTCCAGTAGGGACGCTATGATACCATGCAAACAGTCTAGTCTTTGTGTGCATGTTGAGTATTCAGGCGTGAATTTCTAGTTTTGTTTTTATTTTGTTCATGCCTGAAATATAGATATGTAATTACTTGTAATTGTTTTGAGTATAATAGCTATGGGTGTGTTTTCTCATTTTCCTGTACAGCAGTATTGTGATTCTATTTCTTTTTTGAAACTTCACATGTTACATCCAGATGAGATCAAGCAAAAGGTGGAGGCCAAATTTAATGAGTTGGGAGGCATGTGTGAGAGGGGACAGATGGAACCTGAGCAGGCATATGAGTTGTTCAAAGAATTTGAGGACAAGATGGTTGCCGAGTGCACTGAACTAATTGAAGCAGAGGTGCCAACTGACGCTGCTGAACTGACTGAATCAGGAAGTAAGAAAGTTGAGTTAGATGATCTACCTGGTGAGGGACCTGTTCTAAGGTGGGAATCACGGATTGTGTTTGCTCCTAGTGGCGATGCATATCATCCCAAAAACAGAAAAGTCAAACTCAGTGTAACTGTGAAGGAACTGGGACTTTCACAACATGCTTTCCGTCGGTTGCGTGAGGTTGTTGGAAAGAGGTATAATTCTGGGAAAGATGAGCTCACAATAATCAGTGAAAGGTATGATGAATTCTCTCTTTGCACACTAAACCTAAGATTATGAAATTGTGTACGACATCCATCACTAAAATAGTCCATAAAACGTGCTACTGTCAGAATTGGGTCTTTTTGTGCATTTCCAAAACTGTGCTATATTATTTGTGGCTCTGCTTCATACTAATAGGAATCATGATCTCCAGGATGATAGCCTTATCATTGCAATTTGATTGCTTTGGCAGGATTGAACATCGGGAAGAGAACAGAAAAGACTGCTTGAGGACACTGTATACTCTAATAAAAGATGCAATAAAAGCTGACAAACTTGTTGAGGATGCCAGAAATGCTTATGTTAAAGGAAGACTTAAGGCTAATCCTCAATTTATGGAACGATTGAAGAGGAAGACACAGAAATTGATTGCAGCTGCATAAGGTGTGTTACGGAGCTCCTTGTTGTAACAGTTCCTCTCTTTCCTTCATCAACATGGTGTTCTGTATTGTCATTTTTATTGTTGGCTAACACAGGGAGAATAATATGTTGTATGCACTTAGCTTTGCTTTCTTTAATTGCTTGGACTCTTTTGTAGGGTATTCTTAGTCATAACTATATGTTGATCATCTCGAATAACAATGTCAACAGTCGTCTCCATGCCTTTTTGGAAACCTTTTGCTGTTTCCTACATTGAAGATGCTTAATTTCCTCAGTTTGCTGAGAATACCAACTACCGAGGTATTTTGGTATTAATATGCCGCTGTTACTCACATGGTACCTTTTGTGTATATTCAAATTCTCATGAAGTCACAGATTCATGTAGGCAGGACTGGAATCTAATTTTAATCTTCTGATCTGTACAATCGATTCATTTAAAGGGTAATTGCTACCTTGTTTAGACCTCAGTTTCTACATTCTATGTGCTAATTGTATGTCAAGTTAGCTACTTACGATGTGCCCTGTAGTGTTAGCACGGGTACGGAAATTCAGTTTCTACATTCTATGTGCTAATTGTCATGTCAAGTTAGCTACTTACGATGTGCCCTGTAGTGTTAGCACGGGTACGGAAATTCAGTTTCTACATTCGATGTACTAATTGTTCTAACTCATATCATATACGAGCACGGGCATGAATCCTGGCTATATACGGGTCACGAATCCGGGTCATATGGAATACGGAGGGTGTAAGGGAAGTTTGGGAAGTAAAAAATGCATTAGAAGAAACGTTTTATTCGGGCATGTTCGGCTGGTATTAAAGCCGGCTGAAGCCGTTTTATTGTGAGAGAAATACTGTAGATTCTAACTGATAAGCCGGTTGATAAGTTCAAACGAACATGCCTATATGGTAGAGAAGTGCTTTACACATTTGTACGTACATGCATGATGCATCATAAGCTCATGCCCAACACCTACCCCTACCTCTATCCTTAACAAGGTCGGGATATCCACGCATAATACTCAAAAAAAAAAATAGATCTATGATTTCGATGGCAAGGCGGATGTACTAGTCTAGATATATCTGTCCTTCTTTTCCATCTTAAAAATAAGACTTCTGGCGAAAAGAGTGGAGTTGACTACCCTTGCTTAATGACTAGTTGCGACAACAAGCAGCAAAACAAAGACCTTCCTCTCAGGGCTTTGTAGGAGGTATCTTCATTATCAATACTTCTCCTGACATCTCAAGGTAACCTGAAAATAGCATGATGCATCATAAGCTCCGCCATTGATTATGTGCTACAACATCATGGTCACAGGTGCAACGCGTTTGGAATAAAACTTTAAACGACATTGGTCGGTCCGGTTCACTTAACACATTTTCTGCAGAACTTGAAAATATTCATATTTTTTCTTCTAATTCGTCTTTCTAAATCTCACACTCTCTAAATTGTCATTTAAAGAATCATGTAAATAAAAAACTGATTTCTATATCTTTCCACACTATAACAACTCTTTTATATCTTGTGCGTATTCTAGGGAGTCGTTCTTCATCTTTGGTTAGCGAGAAACTTAGAAAATGACTCCATTTGATATATAATTAAAGAAGTTGTTGAAGATTATTTTCTAACTAAAATCTCTATTTTTAACCATTAAATGAACCTGTTTTGTATGGAATCTATACACGATGACGATTATTATCATTATATATTCTGAAATAAGGTACGACTGTAGATGCACAGACGCACTCAAATTTATGCGCACACACTCTACAGATGCAGGGCGCGTAGGCGAGTCTGGCGTGCATGGACGCAATGTTGAGTCGGTGGCATCATGCAGAGGGCACGTGCGGCGGCGGGTTGATGGTGGTCAGTACAATAGCTGCTCAGAGCTCCGCTTTTGACAATTGAAGAACGTGCGGGCCTTGTTTAGATTGAAAAAAAAATTAACCCGATGAATAGTAACACTTTCGTCTTATTTGGTAAATATTGTCCAATCGTGGATCAACTAAACTCAAAAGATTCATCTCGTGATTTCCAACTAAACTGTGCAATTAGTTATTTTTTTACCTATATTTAATGCTCCATGCAAACGGCTAAAAATTGATATGATGGAGAGAGAGTGAAAAAACTTAGAATTTTGAGGGTATCTAAACAAGGCCCCGGTTAACCGGTTCAAAATCAGCGTCCAGGGCTCTGAAAATTTGACTTTCCTTGTTTAGATTGTAAATTTTTGCAATCTAGACACTGTAGCACGTTTCGTTTGTATTTAGCAAACTTTGTCCGATCATGGACTAACTAGGCTCAAAAGATTCGTCTCGTGATTTATAACCAAACTGTGCAATTAGTTACTTTTTTTACCTACATTTAATGCTCTATGCATGCGTTCAAAAATTGATGTGATGGAGAGAGTGAAAAAATTTGGAATTTAGGGGCAATCTAAACAAGGCCCTAAAGAGAACTACCGAGGTTGCGCCCAAAAAAAAAAGTGTAATGTTCACGCTACCCATATCGAGGCGACGAAGTCAGGGGCTCAGGGCAGCTACCGATGGCAGTTGTCTCATCAGCGAGCCCACGGCCGGCCGCCACATCAGTTGACGCGCTCTCGGCACTGCCCAGCCCGGCCGTCCCGATCCTCCGCCACCTCTTCATCTCCGCAGCAGGGCAAAACCCCGGCCGGCCCGCGACCTGCATCCAAAACCTTCGCAGAGAAAGAAACATCTCCAAATTAATACGCAGCAAGCTAATAAGCAGTAAGCACCCGAGGCATCGTCCTTGGACGCGCGCGCAGCCAGCTGCCAGCATGGAGGTGGACGGGGCGCCGGACCTGACCGACTTCATGAACGACTGGTTCTTCGGAACGGTCGGCGCGCGGCACAGTGGTGGCGGCGGCGGCGGCTACGACCTGACTGGCGAGAGCAGCAAGAGGCTCGCATCGCCAGCGGGCAACAAGAAGCAGGGGAAGAGCGGCGGCGGCAGCAGCGCGAGCAAGCAAACGCAGGATTGGCTGGAGGAGGCGAGGAGGATGGTCGGGGCCGGATCACCGGGTCCGAAGGGCGTCGGGTCGCCGTCCAGGCAGCTGCCCAGGTTCGCCGGCGGATCTGGGACGGAGCCCTCGCCGACGCTCGACCGCCGGGACCCGATGTCGCGGTCCGCCAGAAGGTAAAACTAGATCACTTTCGTCCGTGCAGGCGTGCACGGTGCACCATGCGCGCGCGCTCACGTAGGCTCACGTACTCCTTATTGTAGTCCTACGACGAAATGAGCTGGTCCGACAAGTTCGTTCGATGCACTAATGTATTACTCACTTTTCTATAACCACCACAACTGTTAGCCATGGCCTGGAGTTCCTGTGCAAAACATCGTTGGCTGGTCACGGGCAAGGTCGTTTCTAAATTGAATGGAGGAGTTTGGGTAGGATAATATGATTGTAAATTTAATAAAAAATTATAGAAATATATATCCTATTGAATATAGTATCGTAGAATCAGACCCATTGATAAGATCAGAAAAATATATAATCACAAATTTTAACAGCTATATGTCACGGGCTCACGACCCACACTACTTGTAGAATTAGAAGCTTCACACGGTTAATGGTGCATTTGGATGACAGAAATATTTCGGATTCTCACACACTTTGTCCAGTGAAGCTATTCTCCATGGAACCCATAAACCCACCCAAATATTGTTTAGTTCATTTCAAGGAGGCTCTGGTCAATAGTCAAACAGTTTTATCAATTTTTGCCAAGTGATTCTATTTCAGCAGAAAACATTTTTAAAGAGAATCTAAATCTTTTCTAGAAGAATCTAGATCCCTATCAAACTCACATTTAGATACTATAGTTTGGGTTCGCATGTTCATTTCCGAGCGCCTAGGATTGGATTCAGCTGCTTGGGTGATCGCTCCAAACGAGGGCCATATCCAAACATACTTCCAGAGTTCTAGTGCTGGCCTGTTGCACGATTTTCTAAATATTATAAAATGAATATCCAGTCTTAAACATGCATCATAATCTTGTTTTTTTTTTCAGAGTTATGCGCCACATTTTTTTTGACCATGACAAATAACTTATGCTCTATCTTCAATATTTCTTTTTAGAATGACACCTTCAATGGATTCGTAATAAAGGTCTTAGCTACACTCATACTCTCCTCATCCGCGTGTATTCAGATGAAAAATTAACAAACTATATCTCAATCCACTTCGACGTACGTAAATTGAGATAATACGAATGCAGCTAAACAATCCCCATAAGGGCGTCCTCAACAGTCCTAGACAGCTGCTAGTTAGAAGGGTATCCACGTAATCAAATAGGATAGCACACCAAATTTACTTTTCCAACAATTCACATTCTCCAAGCCAGTCTTATCTACCACACAGAGGCAGGCGCATGCAGCAAGGAAGGAAGCGCATGGGAGAGGAAGCATGCCGAGCAGCTGCTCACATGGTGGGGCCAACGCTCGGGAACCGTGCAATCGGCTAACTAGTTGGTTATCGCTAGCGAGGATGTATTTACGTTCTCTTCTCCACGTTGGCTTGCAGGATGACTCAGCCGGCTCCGAGCTACCCCGTTGGGGGCGCCCTAAGTGGGTAGCAGCGGACCTAGGACAATTAAGGGGGTGTGACAGAACCGTTCGAAAGACCACACTTACGGTGACGCTCGATTTTCATTAGAAATTAAACACCTCAAAAGTGAGGTGCATCAAATAGTTTCGTTGGGCACACCTCAAGAGATAACCCGAATAATCCATATTTTTCGTCCAGGATCCAATAATAAAAGCGAGTTTACAATACTTAGTCCATTTCATATAACAATAGTTCTGGAAAATAAATTATTACAATACCAGGTTTAGAGTGTGAAAATTAAATAGCGGAATCAAAATGACATCTAACGATAAGATACAAGAATCCATCTGTGTCCACCAGAAAAATCCTCCACACAAGCCACTCCTCAAGTTGCACGTACAACAGGGGTAAATAAACCCTGGGTACGCAATGTACTCGCAAGACTTACCCAACTAGGAGGAATAATTTCCCGACTCCAAGGAATATGATAGGCTTTATGGTTTGCTGGGTTTCCTTTTTTTTCGGAAAGCATTACTAATAGTAAATCCTTATGATTGTATTTATTAGCATTCATGATTAGTTCATTAGCTAATCATTCTATGTAAGCACCTGTTCTACTTTCAAGCATGAGTTGAGCAATCAGATTTATTCACCATCTTTCAGTTCTTACTACAGTGCTAGATCATAGCCATGTCGTACCGCATCATGCTGCGATTCTGGACCAATGTATTCCAGCTGGGTACCCTGAAACACACGCCCCGCTTGTACCCTAGGCATAAGTAAGACCAACCCGTCACTCTCCTATCACGGGGTCCAGGTCCCCGTCCAAACTTGGACTCCAGGCCCCCGTACCTGAGTCCCGGACTCAGTGCAGTGCTTAGACCTCCACCATCTCCGTCTCTAATTAGTCGGTCTGGAAAGAGCAGAACCCATGACAAGAAAGTGACAAGCCTTCCCACTCCCATAAGCAAGTATGTGCTCAGGATAATAAGTCTGTGACCTGAATACCATCCACAGCAACGAACGGTCCTTAACCGACACGGATAGAGAAAACAGTGTAATCAAGCTATGCCCCGTTGGCCACGGGACACAACCTATTACACCCACCAATACCCGTACCATATCTCTGCCCAGTCTCCAATTTTCTTTCACCATTTTATTATGAGAGCAGTAATAATAATCACCTACTGTGAGTAATAGCAGGTTACTCATGCTACCAAAAAAACTTAAGCATAGCAGCTACTCGACCTAAGCTAGTAGGACTCATAGGTAGGTATATGTATGTATGTAGTTTCAACAATAAGCCTGTAACGTAAATGCACATCACATATATATTCAGTGATTATTTAAAATAAGGGTTATGCACCGGGGCTTTCCTTGGACAGACGGGTGGTCAGCTATGTCAGACGTCGGTGGCTCCGAGGCTCCCTCCTGTACGAAGACCTCCTCCTCGTACTCCTCAATCACCTCCTCGTACTCCTGCTCGCTCGTGGTCATGAACTCTACCAACTCGTTATCTACATACATGAAATAATGATGCAACACTTAGTAAAATAAGAATACATCTGCCAAGCTACTAAGCTAACTCTAATGACTAAGACGCTAAGTTACCTATTATTCCCACTAAACAGGTATGAAACCTTTCAAACATTATCTTAGCAACTAAAGGCATCCTTATTCTTATTACCGATTTAATATATATACTAAAACAAGGAGTACTTAGCTACCATATTTCTCAACATATTCTAAGGCTACAAAAATTATAGTGAGCACATAATAATCTAATGAACCTACTTTAGTTTGGTTATCCCAACATAAACTAGTATCAAAGCAGTAATTAATTGTTGGAGGTGATATCTCTCACTTTGGCAATGGAGGACAGCAACACTCCAATTGGCATGATCAAGCTTGATGCTTCAAATTATGCTCTATGAAAGCCCATGATGGAAGACCTGCTTTATTGCAAGGATTTGTATGAGCCAATCATGAGAGATAAGATACCCACCGGAGTCACGGAAGAAAAATGGAGAGTATTGAATCGGAAGAAAGTAGGTTTGATCCGTTTGCACATCAACCATACTATTTTTCACCATGTTGCTAATGATAAAGTTGCGTTTGAGTTGTGGCAGAAATTGAAGTCTATGTATGAGCGGAAGATAGCAGTTAACAAAGCCTCGGTGATAAAGCAGCTTGCGAAGCTAGAGTACCGAGATGGTAGCAGTGTTATTGAACACTTGAATGTCTTCTAAGGCCACATAAATCAGCTGACAGCAATGAAGATAAATCTTGATGATGAGGTGCAGGCACTGCTGTTGTTGATCTCATTGTCGGACAGCTGGAAAACGCTTGTTATATCACTTAGCAACTTAGCTCCAGATGGGAAGCTGAACCCTGATATGGTGAAGAACAGCTGAAAGGTCCTAAATGGCTAGAGGGGGGTAAATAGCCTATAAAATTTTTCTACAACAACACTTAAATGAAAGGTTAGTACAACAAATGGCTTTAGCAAGTTTGACACTAGCTCTACAAGGGATGCAAGCCTCCTATCCACAATACTAGCGAGTATGATCTCTAACACACACAATAGGCTATGTCACTACACTAAATTAGTGTGCTCTCAAAAACTAACAAAAGAGACACACTAATCACTACACAAGTAAAAGCTTGCCCTCAAGACTAATTACACTAAAGGGCTAAGCACAACTAGTTTGCAAGAATGTAATTGAGATAGAAAGGTATACCACCACGGGGCAAGTGAGATGATCCAATCAAGATGAATACCAAGAATTCCAATCACCAAGGGAGACAAGATGACAATTGATTTTTCTCCTGAGGTTCACTTGCTTGCCGGCAAGCTAGTCTCCATTGTGTTGACCAACACTTGGTGGTGCGAGCGCTAATTGGCGTGACAAGCCAAACCCTCCAAGTGTGCACCAAGCACCTACCACAAGTGAGGTAACTCAATGACACGAGCAATGTATTAGAACTACCTTTGGCTCTTCGTCGGGGAAGGTGCAACACCCCTCACAATCAACCAGGAAATAGTCACGAACAATCACCAACTCGTGCCAAGCTCCTCCTTGCTGTCCAAGCCGTCTAGGTGTCGGCAAACACCAAGAGTAACAAGAAAACTACAACGATGCAATCACAAGTACCACTAGATGCAAATCACATAAGCACAAGCACTTGGATGCTCTCCCAAACTCACATGATGATTAGCAATCAAGAGAGTGGAGTGGGAGTGGTGTTTCTCAGCTCTAGAATGAGTGCAAGCAATACAAATGGCCAAGAGGGTGAGAAACAACCGGTCAAGGTCTATTTAAAGACCCCCTAAATTTTCCAAACCGTTATGCACTCTCGGGGGATCCGGACTCACCAACCGGACCATGGTCCATACCATGCAGCACCGGTCCGGATCCTCCCCTCAATGAATCACGTTGCACCACGTCAGCTCAAAATTTGAACTCGATCGTTGCCACGCGCAGACCCCTTGCTCGTGCGCTCGGACTGGCGATCCGGACTCCCAAACAGTGAGTAACCGGACCAAGCACCAAGCCAGTCTGGATGCCCCGATTTCTATGCAAATAGCTCCAGAA